TACTCATCGTAATGATGACATTCATTGGCTTCTGGATCCCGACCCAAGTGGCACCGGCCCGGGTGTCCCTCATCATCACTTCCCTTCTGGCACTAATCGCGCAGCAAATCCAGGGCGAGATTAAGATCTCGTACATTTACGCCCTCGAGGTTTGGACCATCATTTGCATTGTGTTTGTCTTTGCCTCACTTATTGAGTACGCCATTGCCATTGCGTGGCCACACCTGACCGCCGATTCGGGTCAACAGAATCGGGTTGACGCCAATAACAGGCTGTCCAAAAGGCTGGTGGCCTTTGTGGCCCCCGACGTGCGTAATAATGAAGTGGACATGGTTGCCCGGGTCCTATTTCCATCCTGTTTTGTAATTGCTATTTTTGTATACAGTGTTAGTTATTATTTTGTGTGAATTGTTAATATTGTGCCACAGATTGAATCTCCCAATGTTTCCATAGGGTTGTACTGATTTTTACAATAATACTATTTAGCATTTAGTTTATTGGTCAAGAATTATATAGATGTTAACAATTGTGATAATAGGTTGTATATTAAAATTTGTTAAAATATAAATATTTTTATCATTAAATGTTTATAAAGTTATTGATATTGTATATAAATTAGATAATATCCAACATTTCTCGGAGTATTGGTTGGCTAACGTGTTGTGGGCCAACATTTTTGAATATGTGTTGGTTAATCTGAGTTAATATTGCCACATCAGTTGCATATTGTATTAACTTGGTAAATTTTGACCGCATCATATCATGATACTTGTATCTCATTAGTAAATAGCGTTGAAGCAAATACATGTATTTGTGTTGTTGAAATCTAACAAGTAAGTATAATAACAAAATTATACTTTTATTACTAATAATTCATACATGTTAAATTAAATACACAATAAAAATAAACAAAAACATACTTAATCATGGTTGAATTTACAAGTTTTGGCCGATCCGGATTAAATAAAATTATAGCCGTTAACTATCAATTAATGAAATAACAAATAGTGTTGTTAACTCTTTTATAAAATAATTATTATTATGATTAATTTGCGTTAACTTACAAGATCAAGAATAATTGGGTCGGATTCCCATTCCTGAGAAATATCATTAAAGAATTGCCTGTAAAATATGTAAGCGTTGTTTGGCAACAGTTTAGTCGACTCAATGCTCACAACCTTGGTGTTTCCATCTTCCTATTAAAATGAATGTCAAATTTAATTTACATTGTAAATCAAATAGGCTGCATACTAACCATATTCATAGCCCAACCTCCTTGTTTATAATCATAGTATTTTAGGGATCGTATTAATTTTAAATCTAAAAATCCATGTTTTATGAGCAAAATTCTATCGGTTTCCTCTATTCTCGCAAATGATGTCAAACTTTTACACATTTTCACTAATCGGTGCACGTGTTTGTCCAATTGAAATACCTTTCTGGCCATGTATCTATTAAATTCCAGGCACGTCAACGGTTTAGTTTGGGTGGCATCTAGATTGTCAGTGAATACGACAGTGGCAGACATCAACTCGTACAATTTATTGGCCTCCCTTTCGTTGAACGTGTTTAGATAATCGGTAATCGGTCGTGGTATAAAAGTCGCTACTTCATTGTTGCCGTCAATTACAGTGACACAAGTGTTGATACAAATAGTTTTATTATTTATATTGTGACGGCTTTGTGTAGTGCTGTCGGCCGTACATGTGGTTAAAGTATTTTTACTTATATTATTTTTATAGCCTTGTTTAATATCAGTCGTGTTATTATTGAGACTTATTTTTCTCATTTTGAGTTCTTTGTATTTATCAGAATCCTTAATAAATAATTAATTGTAAAATGTAAATGTAAATTAAAACAAATATAAAATAGTTAAACAAATAAATAACAAACATGTTTCATTCCCATTGCAAAGCATTTATTAAGTCGGCACTTAATACACGATTTTCTAGTATAGATGTCTATTTTGCAATTGCCGCCAAAATTACATTTATACTTCTAATTAAAATATGAACAATAGTGATCATTGATCAAGGTGATACATTCACACAATATTTCAAGGTTTCTCATACCTTATGTTCTTGTTTGAGGTTTCGACGAAAAAATGCTTTACAAGAATGACACGACAGGGTGTAAAAATTATAACCTAATTATAACAATTAATTAGTAAAGTAAATTATATAAGTTTAATAAATATACAAATACCTTGAGCGACATCACCGCAAATTAAACATACGTCCGATGAGGTTTGTTTACTCATTATTTTATACCATATAACTTTTACTTCTTATATTTTTACAATACAATTTATTAAACAATTATTAATAAACACATCTGTATTGCAAATTAACGATTGAATGAATTATAAATGAAAATAATTTCAATTTAAACAATAATTTGTAAAGTGCATAAAATTTAACAAATGGCTAACTTAAGCATATGTTATAATGTATATAAAAGTTATAAGTAGTGTTGAAAGTTATACTATTAAACATAAAAAACCAAATAATTTATTTGAAATAAACCACATAAAATTTAAAAATGGCAAATTATGGTTTTATGAATGCAATTAATAAAGTCGTACTTTTAGTGTAAAAATGTTTGCTAAAATTCTTATTTATAAAATCTAAGATTTAATAAAAATAATTTGGGTAGAATTAGACTACTAGTATAAGGTTTATAGAATATACTAAAAAGGTTTTGCTTAACAGTTACTTATAAATATCTATAGATTTAATTGTAATATTGTGTGTGTCTTAAATAGTTAAAATCAAACAAAATAAACACAAAATTTAGTTAATTAATAAAACTAAATTACTGCCACCACTACTTATAAATGGTAGATAAATATAACGATAAAATATATTATTAGTACATTGATAAGCTGGCACATAGTACATTACAAAAATTCTAGTGCTTTTTAATGCAACAATGTTGTATTGCATTCATCCTATCTTAAGTTTGAAAAACACTAAAAAGTGTACTAAACTTTTTTTATTGGAAATTTCGTTGTTTTACTTATTATTATATATTGAATGGAATGAAATTTATTTTTGTTTACAGACGCCGTGCACTCAGCAGTGTTTGTATCTAAATTGTATTTTAAATAAAATATCATATTATATTGAGATGCATACTATTGATAGGTCAAGTTGAGCTATATTTAAATAACAATAATTGTTAGCATTTTCTTATTTATTCTAACTTATGTTTATTAGTTTTGTTTGAGATGAATTTATTATTATTATTTATGTTTTTAATTATTTTTCTTTATGATTTGCATACAGAATAATTGAGTCTTTCATAAATAATGACGGCTTAAACGCATCATTAAATGGTACGAGAGATCAATGATAAGTTTGACTTTTTATTAAAGTTGTCATATATTATTTTAGGTTTAATTGAATTTATTGGTTAGCAAATATAATAATATACAGTACCCATCTCATCTAACTAATAGATTTAACTAATAGTGTTAATTAATGTATCAATATAAATAAATCACTAAAATTTAGATTTGTATTTCAATTTGATTATATAATTTGATAATTTGGAAAATTATTGTTTTTTAAAATTATTTGTAAGTAAACTGAATTTTTATTTATTTAATAATATTATATAAATTATTTTCAACCACAATTCAGTATGAATAATGTGGTTTATAGGATCGTTCGGTTATGAATTTCCCGAATTGTGGTTAACGTATAGCATCGCTGTGTGATCCTTGTTTAGTTTTATAACAAAATAATTACTAATATTACATTTATAAAATAAATATAGATTAGTGAATTAAATAGAAACTTAGAAATTTAAAACTATACGTTATAAGTTTTAAAAAGTTTATTTTCAGTTGTGAATATTTTATTTTATGAATATCCGTAGTTGTTAGCATAGGTCCAAGTCATTATTTGTTATTTAACCGCATTCATAGTACAATTCTATTGATATGAACAATAATAAAAGAATATAATTGCTTAATATTAATTAAATTAAATTTATAAAAATAAATACCTTCAATTTATCACGATCCTGCTGATTTATTGTTTTGGCCAATTGTGCAGATCTGTTATACATGTATCTGACTCGTGGGTCGTTAGTTAGTGCAGTATTAATGCAATTGTAAAATGGTTTATCACACATTATAATTAATTGTGTCCTTAATCTCCTATTAGCAAGGTCCACTTTTGAAAACGTGCTCACACTTCCAGCTTGGTTTCTGCATCTATTCATATAAGCATTTTCCAACTGTTGTTAATTAGGAATAAATTTTAAAATATGGTAGTTTATAATTAACATTAAATTTCATTGTAAATTAAATAGCATTATTTATAATCAGCATACTCTTCTATTAGCTGACTTAAAATTAGCAGGTAAATTAGTTTTATATTGATTATCGCAATCGATTACTTTCTTGACGATAGTTGTGTTCGTCGTGTTTGGTCTGCAAAACGATGTTTTGAATGTCTGATTGAATTGCATATCGCGGTCGCCGTTAAAAACACCCGCTCGACAGCACACGACTATTAGTGCCATAAATATTATTATAGCAATTATACGGTTCATGTTTTGTCATATAATTTAGTTTGTTTGCAAATTTAATTAATATGCTATAATTTTGAAATTATTGCGCATTTATATATTATTTCATAATTGTAAATATATTTTTAATGTTTAAATAAAATAAAATACAATATTAATATTTATTCAGCATATTTAGCTTTAATATTATATTCCGCGATTATATTTTTTAAATATTTATTAATCAAAATTTGTTCACAATAAATTAGATACTTTGTGAATTAAAGCATTATTTGAGCCTTATCGAATACAATAAAGCTAACTTGCAAAATCATAACTTATTTAAATAATGTTTAATAACAATATAAAATAATATTTTTATAAAAAGATACAATGCTACAAAAAATCATTTGATTGTCATTTAAGCGCATCGAACAGACATTTCTAAAATAAATAAAATATAGATTTAATTATTGTAATCATGTAATATTGCTAAATTAGAAATTATACTTTTAATTGCTCATAATCATTTTTATTTTTTGCCTTGCTCATTTTTTCAATTTTATTAAGCAGTTTCTTATCTCGGTGTAATATGTTGTCAACACAATGCAAAAATTGACCATCGCATATAACCATTAGTTGTTTCTTACAATTATCGTTACTTTGGTCAACATTTTTGTATTTAGATAAATTACTTCCAGACGTTAAACATTTGTTAAATAATTTATCCTCTGTCTGTTTAAAATATATTAAATTTAAAAATTAATTCAACATTCAATGTACAATATCACAAAAATTTGGGTTCAAATTTGGTAAAATTAAACAACTTTAAGCTTATATGTATTCTTATATACAAGATAATAATAATGTACCATATAATTTATGTAAAGAAGGATGTGCAGATCTGTAATGGGGTCAATAAAAACTGTAATGGGGGGAATTAAGAACCTATGATACCTGTATTTTGACAAAAATAATTACAAATTAAGACTAGTTTGTTGCATAACAATAAACTATCTCTAATAAAATAAATAATTATTTTTTCAAAATGGCCGT